GAATGCCTTTGTTGGGGCTACAGATCAAGGAAATCCATAGGATTACAATTTTAGAAAGTCCAAACTAAGATCAGGATCCACTTACAGACTACATGGAAACAGATTTTTATTTTTATTGATTACATTTCTGCACTGCCCATCTCACTTAAGTGACTCTGAGCAGTTTAGGGAAATTGCCAGTCTTCCCTTGTTATTCAACGGAGAAATCTCAGAGAGAATGTTGTTTCTGTTGTGTTGTTGTTTTATTCATGCATTAATGTACTAAAAACTGCACTAATACTATATGTAACCTATTACAAGAGATGGTCAGCCTAACACCTCAATCCCCTTTTAAAGGCCAAATGCAAGGAAAGCCTACCCCATACGTCATTCTCATCAAGGGGAACAATGGGTCTTGGCTGTACCTTTTCAAACAGTTGGCAGAGCTCATATAATGGAATACCTCTCTAGATAAAACAGATCTTCCATATTACTTTGTCAAGAAACAGAAGAACAGACCATAATTATTCCCTGCAGTATCCTTCTATCTATGATGGATGTTCAATTTGTTACAGAATAGCTACTAATGATGCAAGACTTGCCACTTGAACTCTTGAAACAGTATAGCCCAAATGCAGGATGTCACTTCAAAGCGAAGGATTAGTCCAAAGGTCCATACCCAAAATGTTGCTGAGCTACAATTACCAGATTCTTTCACCATTGGCCAGGGTGATAGGGGCTGCTGGAAGACGTAATTCAGCCACATCTGAAATGTGATACCTTGCCTATCTCTAGACCAGGTCAAAAATATTGATTTTTCTTTCTATTTCTCATTAACACTGGATTTTAAATCTCTGATGATCCCTTTATTTATTGCAGAAATAAATTGAACTGTATGCAAGTTGATCTAAAAACTAATCGATTAGATAATAAGAGATACAGCCTCAGGCCTATCCTTTGTGCCTCAACACTGTGGCAAGTACTAAGCAAAAACGAATAGAAAAAGAAAGAACAAGAAAAGAAGATGGAGGATTATGGAACTACATTACCTGGTTCCGAGAATATTCTGCGTCTCCCCAGAGCACAAGGCCATGAGCACCCATGGCTGCAGCCTGCCCTATTGTGTACACCAAGTCTGTCTAGAACAGCAAGAGAAGCCATCGCAAAGAAATTAGCAGGAACAGGGTTTAATCATCCTTGCCCCCTTCTAAGTTTTTATATGCTGTTTCTACATTTTAACATTTTATTGTATATTGTCCACAGCTCCTCTCTGAGGAAGATGGGTGGTTCAGAAATGTGAAAAAATAAATAATAAACAAGGGAGAGGTTGAGACATTTCTGCTGAACCTCTTCCCATTTACGTGGTGAAAACCTGCTTCTAGAATTGCTCCCTAGTCATGTGATCAGATTTTTTTCCCAAATGCAACCATTTACAAATTATGATACTTGATGCTGATGATTCCATGATACACTGTACGTCTTAAAAACTCTATTTTTCTGTCTGTTTGTTTTTTAGTTGATCTTATTCGGTAACCTCTTCCATGAGGAATAACATCTCTGAGTTAAAATTCTTGTTCCAGTGTACAGGACACAAAAAATGGATGTGAGTTGTAAGAAAGCATGCTCTGCTTCAATAAATGCTTGGAAAATGTTAGGAAATGTCTTAACACTACAAGCAATGAAGTCATTATCACTTCATGGGATTATATTAAATCAGAGACTGGGCAATGATCATTCAAAGATGCTTTAATTTTGACTCCTGCACTGAACTTGGCCTAAATAGAATACAATAGAATAGAGCTGGAAGGGACCTTGGAGGTCTTCTAGTCCAGCCCCCTGCTCAAGCAGAGAACCTCTACCATCTCAGACAAGTGACTGTCTAGCCTCTTCTTATAAGTCTCCAGTGATGGAGCACCCACGATTTCTGGAGGCAAGCTGTTCCACTAGTTAATTGTCCTCACTTTCAGGAAATTTGTCCTTAATTCCAGGTTGCTTCTCTCTTTGGTCTGTTTCCAACCATTGTTTCTTGTCCTGCCCTCTGGTGCTTTGGAGAATAATGTGACCCCCTCTTCCTTGTGGCAGCCCCTCAAATACTGGAATACTGCTATCATGTCTCCCCTATTTCTTCTTTTCTTTAGACTAGCCAAACCCTCCCAATTGTATGATTCTTTACATGTGATTCTCTCAATAAAGGTATGCATGAAATCAAGGCTTTGCCATGTTGAAGCAAGAGTTGGGAAGAAGGGTTATTTATTTCTAGCACGATGAAATCATCCTCCTCCTCTGATTCTTTTTCACATGAATCTATGACAATAATCCTAAGCAAGGCATTTCCTCTTCTGTCAACCCATCTAGGTGGGGGTGGCTGGGGGAACCACAAAGGTCCCTTTCTTTTACTCCATTCCTCCCCAATAACTGGAGCTTGGTCTTCTCTGCCGGCTCTTCCCGGTCTTACTTTCAACAAGAGGCCCCCATGGATCATTTCCAGCATGCCAATCTCCCAGTTTACAGAAGGTTTCTGCTTCAATCCTGGGCCCACGTGGGGCTGTGACATTCTTTAAGTGCTTCCCCTCCATCTATCCACCCCATCTACTTATCATATGAGTTACAGCATCCATAATCGGACTGCCATCCCACTTGAGTTAAAAGGTACATCCAGGTTTTTTTAAAAATGTTCCTCTTCTGTTAATTTTTTTTTTACTTTTTTTTTTTTAAAGTAGAGCCAGGCAACAAAGCCCTTCTTGCCTTCGCAGAGCTCCCTTAAGTTAGATCAAAGGAGCAATTTGATACAATGTGGTGCCTTGATTCAAAAACTACCAAAGAGACGGAGAGGCATCAAAGAAGCCAGACGAGAGGAGCAAAGCTGCTTTCACTTAGAAAGAGCACCTTGCCCCAGTTCAGCTTGAAGGGAAGGAAAAGCTCCACCGGCCAGGAAGGGGTGTTGCTGCTCTTTGGGAAGGGGACTGCCATACCACCACCTGCGAGTAAAGGCCTCATTTACTAAAGCCACCAACAATCTTCCTTCAGCCCTGCACAAATGCAACCCCCTTCCTTCCAAAGGCTGACCTGCACATTGCTATGAAAGGCAATATGATACCGCACAGTGAACAAATACAGAACTGTTCCCAGGATAACTGAAAAATTTCTGTATCAGCAGAAGAATGTTTTTTAAAATGGTGAGCATGGCCAATAGCATGATGTAAAACGTGAGTGCAGGTATTACAGGCTCTGCATTGGCTCCAGGTTGCTCAGGTTTTATGGCCTAGGTTAAGTTGTGATCTTACAACTAGACGGATATGTATGTATGTATGTATGTATGTATGTATGTATGTATGTATGTATGTATGTATGTATGAGTCTTTGGTCATTCGGGTTTTCTCCCGTGTAAGATTAGAAGTATCATAGCGACGTTTCGATGAAATCACATTCATCATCATCAGGCTTGTGCTTTTAGCTTTGTGTATATATATATATATATATATATGCAGGTCTTGGTGTATTTGGGTCTTTTCCTGTGTAAGATTGAGAGTATCTTGGCGACGTTTCGACAAGGTCCCACTCATCATCTTCAGGCTGGGGTCCTCAGCTTCGTGCCTGTGAGAGCAAAGTGTGATCGGAGCTGCCGTCTCTCTATAAATACTGGTGGGGGGTGTGTGGAGTGCTGGCTTAATTGCTGTAGGTGGGTTGGTTGGCTGTGTGGGAGCCATTGTTTGTGGATTGTTTGGCTGTTTCATAACATCCTGAGTAGTTAAGGAGCTGGCTGTGTGCCCATTAGTCTTTTGTGTTATAACGACCTGGGTAGTGGGACCTCGTCGAATCGTCGCCAAGATACTCTCAATCTTACACGGGAAAAGATATATATATATATATATATATATATATATATATATATATATATATATATATATATATATATATATATATATATATATATATATATATATATATATATATATATATATATATATATATATATATATATATATATATATTAAAGGAGGGCTGGAAGCAATTATGTGCATCCTGCCCATTCAAGAGGAAGAGGGTTACATGATCATTTTAAAATACATCCATTTTAAGCACGGAGTATGTTTTAATCCAAGTGAAATGGCTCACTCACACCATCCTTTTCATCTCTCAGTGATTCCCATTTGGAGACACTTTGACATCTCTAGTTGAGAAACCTAGTGGGACAGCTCTTCTCCCATTCACAAATGAAGTCTGGAACTTGGGAATCAAATTAGTTTATTTTTGCCCTACAAGATGACGTTCGTAGTCAGGTTTAATTAACAGACACTTCCAAAACCAGCACAGAATTCTTGATGCCCAAGAATTGTGCTGGACTCAGAACTAAAGTCCATGGGGAAGCAAAGGTAAAACAGTGAAAGAATCTCACCTGGCTCAGCTCCTTCAGGGTATAGGTGTAGAATGGCCTGGCATACACAAAAACAGGGAGGGAGTGTTGAGCAGAGGACAACTCAGCCACTCTCAAGGCCTCGCCCACTTTGGCTCGCACAAACCTCTTCCCTTGCAGGGAAGTTCTCAGCATCTCTTCCATGTAGATGGACGGGTAGAGGGCCCTGCTGTTCTCCCAGAGCCAAGATAGCTCATTATTGCGTTGCACTTCCACTGGGGGACATTGCCCTGTGAAGCCCTCAAAATCATCCAAGTAATCATAGTTATAACAGTCAGGAAAGAGGTAGTAGCCCCACCAGCCATTGGGTCGCAGAGACTGAGCTAAGCGGAGAGTATCTGTCATAAAATTCTGGGCAGCTGCCTCAAATTCCCATTTGGCCTCCAGCTCAGCTTCATAATCAGATAAATGGGGGTTTCTTTGCTTGACCAGGAGGAGGGACATGTCCCGGTAGATATTTTTTTTATCCCAGTTCCGAATCCACTGAGGCCTCCAGTTCTCCCAGTCAATCACAGCGAGACCTGCAAAAGAGTGTGAGGGCATGGCCATAGCAATGTCCTTTCTCATCTTCTCCAGGTGGTCTTTCAAGCTGACGTTCTGGGGGCAGCCACCATGAACAGCAGTGGGTGGCACCGTCGTGTTCACATAATACGGATATAAGCCTAGTTGATCATAGTAGAAGATGGTAATGTTCCCACCCACAAAGGCTTCCTGGGAATTCACCAGGATGCCGTAGGAGTCCAAGTGGAGAGGGACATTGTAGGCAGCTGAACAGCGAGCCGTTGGTGCATTCCAAGTCACTAGGAAAGGTTTGTCTTTTACAATTGGAGGCAGGGCTGGTTTCAAGTTATGAGCGTCAAGAGGAAGAGCAGCCAGCCCATCTGGGAAGAAGAGCAGCAGCAACAAGAAGGTTTGACGACACAGAGAGTGACAGAACCTCAGTTGTGTTGAAGCCCATTCTAGCACTCCGGCCGAGCGTGACGTTCTCGAGTGGTGTGCAGTCCTGCAAGGATGACAGAAGACACTATCAATACGGCACGAGCATTGCACTGCTCGATTATCGGCCATCACTCCTTTTAAAATAAATCCCCGGCTCTTGAATTGTAAACGCCCATTACAAACTGGTTTTCCCTGACAGACATCAGCAGCACTCAACATTTTGAATGTAGACCTTTCCAGCAAGCCATCCTTTTATTGGACTTGAGAGGAGCCCAGAGGCCCTCCATCCTCCAGCAGAGCGCTATAAAAAATACCATAAAGCTCTGTCCCTGGGCCGGGGTCAAGGGTCAGGAACACCCTTGGGGTTGAGTAAGGGGCTTTGGAGACAAGGGCATGACAATGAGAGTGCACTGAAAGCCTTCTTTTTCTTTCCATGTAAAGCAGCACTAGAAGGAGTCTGCATGTTTGCTAATTGCTGCGGCTGCCGGAGATTTCCCCCAAGCTAATTTAATCTGCTCTGTAATATCAGTGAATGGAGAAAAGTAATGTTCTTTAGAAAATGTTCAAAACTGCTTCCTATGCTATTTATGAAGGGGGGGGCGGGGTGTTTCACTTTGCTGCTGCGATTGTGTTGTTTTCCCATTAGTATTTCTCTGTTGAGATTCCAATCCATTTGGAATTTTTGTTTTTTAGAAAGTCCACATGTTTATATTTAGTATTCAGGGCCTCTGAAAGAGTATGGAGAGAAATTTCTGAATCCCAAACCCCAGAGGCTACGGTCCCTGGTACAAAACGATGAAGAAATCTGAATGCTGCTTTCCATTCCTACCCTGATATCACAAGCTCCTCTTTCCTTATTTGTTTGGGCCAATTCCATCTGGAATTGAGCAATCACATTAACCTCACTCTACATAGGTCACAGAGCAGACATTCAGTGATTACAGTCCTCGATCATTGGTGACTTCTGTTGAACGCACTGTTCCCCTGGAGATAAAAGATTTCTCAGCCAAATGCATTATCCATTAATGTCTAGACCTCTTTTTTTTTTAAAAAGTAATCATAATGCATGATGTAGTTTTTAACAGTAGCAAAATCTTTGGCTGAGTTTCCACCAACTACTAAGTCCACATAAATTTTAGTGATAGCTCACATCCCTAATAAATTGGACAACAGATACTAATCACCTGTTTGTTTGCATTTCTCCTCACCTTAGCAGTACCATGTTTCCCCGAAAATAAGACCGAGTCTTATTATTTTTGCCTCCAAAAGAGGCACCATGTCTTATTTTCGGGGGATGTCTTACTCACCTCCAGCACCAACAGCCCCGCCCAGCTGGTCCACTTCTTGTGGGACCAAAGGAGCAGCTTCATTCTGCAGCTGCATTCCGGACTGCATTTTGCAGTCAGACCTTTCCGGAAGGCCTATGTAGCCGAGTACCGAGCTATGGATTTAATCCATAGCTCAATCCATAGCTCGGCCCTTGGCTGCAGAGGTCTTGCAGAACTGAGCTATGGATTGAATCCATAGCTTGGTTCTCAGCTGCAGTTGCCTTTCGGAAAGGCCTGTGACTGAGAAATGCAGGCCTGGCTGCAGAAGAAGCCTCAGAAGTGGGCCAGCGAGGAGAGGCCTGGATGCAAGGTAAATGGTTGCGGGACACGTGGGGCAGCTCCACACCCCACTCCCACCCTAGCTTGATTTTTAGGTGTATGCCTCATCCCAAAGCTAAAGCTTATATTCGGGGTAGGGCTTATATTAGGCCCAACCCCCCAAATCAAACTAGGGCTTATTTTTTGGGTAAGCCTTATTTTGGGGGAAATGCGGTAAGAGTAAGCCCTAGTTTGGGGGTGAGGGTGAGGTTGGGGGAATGAAGCTGCCCCACATGCCACACACCCACTTACCTTACTGGTAGGACCGCCGCAGCCAGGCCTCCCATTGCCCCGACACTTGTCAAGGCATGTGGCTCGTCACGCCAGTGCCGCTGCTCATGGCAGGAGGTTGCATAGCGCTTCGGGCCATTGCTGTTGTTCATGGCAAGAAGCCAAGCAGCTCTTTGGGCCATTGCCATCACTTGCAGCAGGACACTGCATGGCGCTTTGGGCCATTTCTGCCATTCACAGCAAGAAGCTGAGCAGGTCTTCGGGCCATTGCCGTCGCTTGTGGCAGGATGCCATATGGCGCTTCGGGCTGTTTCTACTGCTTGCAAGCGGCGGAAATGGCCCTAAGCGCCATGTGGCGTCCTGCCGTGAGTGACGGCAATGGCCCAAAGATCCATTGATAAGTGTCGGGGCATGGGAGGCCTGGCTGCGGTGGTCCTACTGGTAAGGTAAGCGGGTGTGGGGTGCGTGGGGCAGCTTCACCCCCCACTCCTTAGAGCAGTAATGGCACAATGCACCACATTGCGTCCAGCTGCAAGTGGCAAATGGCCGCTGAAGAAGTCAGCGGTGCAACAGGTGTCGGGGTGTAGGAGACCTGGCTGTGGTGTCCTAAGGCAAGAGACCCCCCAAAATATAAGACTCAGAGCCTCTTTTGGAGGCAAAAAAAATATAAGACTGGGTCTTATTTTGGGGAAAACAGTGTACACACACACACACACAAAACACACATATTCTTTTGAGAGTGGGCATCAGAATTTCATTTTTAATGTGTGCCAGCATATTCACACACACAAAGATGACAATAAAGGTTATCTTATCTTATTTTACAGCAGCAAGTCATCCATGGACCTAGTCAGCCATCCATGTTCAGTTTTTCCTCCGCACGTTTCTCTATTCTAGCTCTTTATTATATAAAGTGCCAGAGTCATCTAGAGTTGGGCATTGTTTAAATCGATGTGAAGGAATACACAGATACATTTTGAGTGGTTTACTTGTGGCCAAGGTTCTTGCAAAGAACAACAGGTAGTATGGACTTAGGTTTCTTTCAGCAAGATGATTCTAAGCAAGAATTCATACTAAAGACAAAAGTACAGAAACAAATAGCATCTCAATTGTAAAGAGATTTTAAGCTGGATTTCACATTTTATAAATGAAGTAAACCCTGGTGGATCTCAGGAGCTTTGGTCATGACCTATGGCCTTCTCTCTTTACGTTCTTCCAGACCTGGCTCTGTTGCAGGGCCTGGGATTAGGGTATTTGTGGAAGCCCTGTCAAAATCTCTGAATGTTAGTTCTCTCATTTATCCATAGTCTTTTGGGAGTCAGGTAGCCTCAAAATCCAATAAATCAAACAAGCAAACAAGCAAGCCAAATTATATAAACTTATACTGTAGATAACTACTGAATAAGCTACTCCATCTTTTTTCTCTTACTTTTTTCTCTTACAAGCCTCAGGTAATACTATTAAAGCTTGAGAGAAAAGGAAAAAGACAGTCTGTTCTTGAAAAATACCCTAGTTTCTACCAGGTCCATTGGCTGATTCAAATATCACTTTTTGTGCTTTGCTCTTATTTCTTTCTGAGATAAATTCCACCCAACCACAACATTCTCAACCTTCTCTTTCCCCTCAAGTTATCCATTTTGCTATCATGTTGTTGGCTTTGCAATTTGATTTGCATTTATCCTCTCTGTGTGACCAAATTATCTTTGCATATTTCTTTCATACAGGTCAATCACCCTTATACTTCACTAGCTATTTCAATTTTTCCTCATAAACTATCAAATCAGTTTAAAAAAGCATTCCTATTTCTCTATGTGGTTGCTAAGATTCAACAATGAGTTGTTGGCACATAGTAAATCAACACATAAATATGTATGAATAGACTTAAGCTTAAAATATGTATCTGAAATACCGTAAACATAGTTATCAAAGCAAATATTTACCAAACAATCACCATTCTGATTCATTCTTGGGTCTCTGAGTGACCCCAACACTTATTCCAAATTTTCTCATCTTATTCCCTCCTATCCATTCATGTCACCAAACAGGATAATTCCTCACCACCATTAGAATCCATTCATCCAAAATAATAATACATTTCTTCTCCCCATTAATAGTTCTGCTGTTATTATCATTCATTGGATGTAACGTGCAATGATAAATTCATTACAGATTCCTAAATTTGTACACACTCAAATTAATTAGATACCATTAATACTTCCTGATATATGTTAAAAACTTTCATTTATAATTAAACTACTGTATACCCTCATTTCATTGCATGTACAGTATTAATTTCATTCCAAGAGATCACTTTATTTTCATTTCAAATTATGGGCCACCCCTTTCTTAGTTTCACATACACTCAACATATTTATTTTTTCTCTATTTCATTTGTTAATTCATGTTCTTTTATATTTACTTCTCTTACACTTCAAGTTATATTCTTTTATGAACTAGGATCTCTAATTTAGAGTACACCATGTAAGTCAACATACAGCATCCTGCCAACTAGACAATACAGCACATGAAATTGACAGGAACACATTAAAATGCAAAATACCAATCATAATTATGCTTCTGAGAAGATGCTCAAAATATATGTCCAAATAATATTCCATCCACTGTGAAGCCATTTTTTATTTGAAATGCCAGAAGCTGGTCCATGAACTTTTCCCCCTGCATGTGTTTGCTGTTTTAACCTGATATAAATCCTTTATAAATCCTCTATCTACTCAGTCTGGATATACTGTACAAGTAAAAACATAGTAGTAGGACATAGCTGATATGTTGATTTTGTTTAAAGCGCTACTTAAATCAATCAGCCCAAAGGGGAACAATTACACACATCCACTAAGAGAATAGTAAAAGAAAAAAAAATAGTAGATTTTATCAGAACCTGATCTTCAAAAGTACATTAGGGAGCTGGAAAATTGTAGCACTCTTTGAAGGCAAGATTAGTCTCACAACTCACAAGTGATCCTGGTTATTGCAAGACAAAAAGGAATGCAAAACTTAGATTTAAATTTTACAAAATTTCCCAGCCTCCTTCTTGGGTGGCAAACTCAGAGAATAAGTTGTACCTTCACCATAGAGGGACTTCTACTGGGCTCATTCTTTGCTTACATCCCAGGTTTATACAGGGGAAGTAGTTTGAAGCTGGGAATCCAGATGTCTCCTTAATATCTTATAATTAAACAGCTGTATTGAGGTTGAGACAAGAGCCCGGGGCTCTGGACACTTTTTGTCATCCCATCTGGACAGTCTTCTTAGGTCAACTTTATATTGGTCTCACTGCTGGATATACTCATTCAGCCCTCAACCAGTGAATAACAATGGCACCAATTACATTCTCTTCCAAGGGTTTTGAATGCTGTTGGGTAAAATGGGGTAAGCAATGAAAGGAGAAAGGAAAAAAATATTGCTCCAGAAGGAGCAAGTAGGAAAGATGGAAACGGGAAGATGACTAAGGGGCGACTTAACAGGAAGATCAGAAAAAGCAGCAGAATGAACAGGAAAGGAAATGAAGGCATAATATAAAGAACCAATTTCTCATGTTTTATAGAGAGGACAAGTAGGAAGACCTATTCCTCTTGCTTTTACAGTATCTAGAATCTAAACTACTAATAATGGATCTAATACTAACCAATCTCTTTAAAGAGACTGAAAAGTTAAACAAGGTGAGACAGAAAAACTGGAATTCTCTGAGCTCTATATTCATCATTTCCATGGGGTAACAATGGAGATGCACACCTGATGGTTGATGGAAAAAAAATACTTAGACTTACTCAGGACATTTCTTTCAGAGCCTAGACAATTTAGCATGAGATATTTCTTTAATGAAATCTCATTACATCTGATAGGTTTAGATCAGGTGTGTCAAACTGCCGGTGTTGCATCATATGGAGGCCGCACCCACCCCAGCTCCGGCAATGCAAATAAAGTCGTGACATGTCACGACACATCACGTAACGTGGCGAGTTTGACACCCATGGTTCAGATGATGAGATAAACAGTGGCTGATTACAGAAATGATATTATGTCCTACTTCCTGTCATTCAACTGGAAAAGATGCCCAACAGCTTTTCAGCAGCTCACTATGTAAATTCAATACCTTAGGAAGCTACACAGACAAGTCCAGGCATTAAATCTAGCTCAAAGGTAACTTTACTTTAACTTTACTCTATTCTATTCTATTTTTAGGGAAGTGATACTAAGTGGAGGGCAAGTATGACCAATGTATGAAAGAAAGTCAGATGGAGAAATTTGTACTGCTGAAAGATATCCATTATCCTCCTCTCCATTCAACTATTTAGAACGAAAATGGTAATTAGAAAATTCTATCAAC